AGAGAGAGAGAGAAGAGAGAGAGAGAGAGAGAAACGAAAAGATCGAAGGGAAACGAAGCAAAGAGAAATTCCAATGGAGAGAAATGGTGATGTCTCTAAGATGAATGGTAATGTCTCTTTAACTATCGAGGGGATCCGTTATCGAGGAGAACGTGGCACTAAAGAAGAAGAAGAAGAAGAAAGGAAAGTGGAGAAAGTTTTCTACCCAACTTTCTTTCATAGTATATTTTCATTCGTATAAAATACCCAATAAAGCTAAAGATAAAATTACAAGTATAATTTCATTTCATTTCGCTTACGATCAGCCCTTCGACGATCGACGAGAATTGATAAAAATCACCCCCCTTAATAACTTTCCTCCCCGAAAACAGAATACGGTTCCATTTTCCCTAGAAACATCCCCTTTGAACATTAATCCCAATACGAGAGAGACAATCCCCCGGGCAGATAAAGCGAAAACCGTAATTGCCGGGCAGGGGAAACGCTTCACCTTGACCTTCGTTCAAGGATACGTGTAACGAAAGAAAGAAGAAAGTCGGGAAATTTTGCTGCCTTTTATCGCGAGCCCGTCACAAGCATTGATTAAACTCGGCCTTTCCACCGCCCTGTCACGAAGTCTCGTTGCTCGCGGTTAAACGTCCGGTGGACGAGGGTCGAGGTTTCCAACCCGAAACTTTCGAGCCTCCTTCCCTCCCTTCTCGAGGAGCGTTGTCCACGGATGGGATGGGAAAGCGGAGGGAAGCCACGACGAACGAATTCTTCCGCCTTTGAAAATCGAGACCGCGACCCCTATCGATTTTATCCCGGAATTTGATTTGTCCTATCGCGACGAACGAAATTGGATAGTCGTCTCCCCGCGATAGCGAGTTAACAGGAGGAACAGGGAACAGGAAGCTGAGAATTTTCTCTCAGGAGTTGGTTAAAGATATAGCTAGCTAGCTAGCTTCGAGGAAATTTTTATTTTTTAATTTTTCCATTTGTCTCTCGCGATGGTATCCTCGATAGAAGTTAACCATGTTAAATGAAAATGGAAGATTTTGTATGCGGTTAAAAATGTAAATGTAAAATTCGTTCGTAATAAAAATAGAACACGTGGAAAGTTTTATTTTTTAATTTTCCCGTTTGTTTCCTGTTTGTGCATAACCTCGATAAAAGTTAAAAATGGTAAACGAAAATAGGGGATTTTAAGTTGGTTAAAGACATTCATTCGAGAAAGACGTGAAGACGTTTCATTTTTTTAATTTTTTAATTTGTCTCTTGCGATCCAAGTTAACGATGTTAGACGAAAACCGGGGATTTCTGTCTGTGAGTTGGTTAAAAATTGGTAAGTATTCGTTCGAGAAAATAGATGAAAGTTTTATTTTTCAATTTTTCCATTCGTCTCTTGCGACACCCTCGATCCAAGTTAACGATGCCAAACGAAAATGGAGGATTTCTGTCCGTGAGTTGGTTAAAAATGTAAGTACTCGTTCGGGAGAGGGGTGGAAATATTTATTTTTCAATTTTTCCCGCGTTACTGACTTACCGTTCCCTTGGCGTAATAATTCTCCAATTCCTTGAATAAGTCCGTGAACACGTACGCATTCTGCTCGTAGAGGGTACCGTAAGTCTTCTTAAACATCTCGTGAAAGACCCTCTTGCTATTGGCGAAGAGATCCTTGAAGAAGCCTGTGAAAAGAAAGGGAGAACGTTTCAAACAAACGTTGTTTGTTTCCTCAATAATCTAAAATCGAGTTTTAAATCCGAGGAATAATTTGAAAATATCGAGGGAAGAAGAAAGGATTGGATGGATATCAAGAAGAAGAGGTCCAACAATGGGCGTATAAATAATTTATACGAGTTGTTAATCGATCCGAGGGAGAGAGAGAAAAAGGAACGAGTGGAGGAAAACGTAATTCCTTAATTGCACTTCTGCTTCTCCTCCTCGGCTCCTGTGACTGGGAATAATTCGTAATTGCGGAGGAAACGAGTCGAATCGATCCACCTGTTCGAGACAGATAGGGGGAGGGTGGCCCGTTACTCGAGATTTGCAAATCAATCACAGCCTCGATTTATAACTTGGCAGATTGATCACGCGTTAACAATGTTTGCCCCTTGTCGAATTATAGCGCGTAACGTTCCACGCTCTATCTAATTTGCAAGCGTTAATTAACTAACCACGTCAGAATAATCAAATTTACGCGGAGTATAAACCAGAAGAGTGATTTCTCCTCTCCTGGTTTAAACACTTCTCTCTTCGAAAAGGAAGAGAAAGTTTTATTTATAAAACTGACTTGATCGAAAGAAAATAATAATATCTGCTATCATCCATATTCATCAACGTAGAGGTATCGAACTCAATTGAAACAATGATTATTTATCAAAATGACAACACACACATACGCATATATAATTTATTAAATAAGTGATCGAATCAAAAGGGTTATCGGTTGGACGGGAAATAATCGCGCGAAGAAAGATTTGTGGGGAGAGAAAGAGGAGGAAATCGTGAGGTTGGCGGGCAACAATGGCGTACCTAGAACACCGTCCGGCCCGACAAAGAGAAGCCTGTGCCACCCTCTAACGCGCGTAACCTCGCCAACCCCCTGACACAGGCCTGAACCCGTTCTTATCGTCACTTCAGTCGCGAAGAATGTGATTAAAATTCCTTTTAACGACGCCAGAGAGAGAGAGGAGGGGGGGGAGGAGGGGAGGGGGGAGGAGGGGAGGTAGAACAGGTGAGCCTCTGTGTAACGAATCGTTGACGGCGACGTCGGCGACGACGCCTCGGCAAAAAGCTTCGGGCTCCGCGTCGCGTGAAAAGGGAAGGAAGCACTTAGCGCCGCGACGACTGGCTACGAACTTCGCCAGCCTTTTAATTCGCGATACGCTCCCAGCTTCGCGACTAATTCCCCCGGTTTCCCCTCCGAACCACCCTCGAGCCGCCTCTATTTATAGGAATTTTTTCTTTTTTTTTTTTTTTCCGAGATCGAGGCGGATCGACAACAGGTAAAGTCGAAACGAATGGATTCCATTGTTTTTCTTCTGTTCCACGATATTTTTTTTTCGAACGATCGAATTATCAGATTTATCAGAAAATCGAAGGATTCAGAGATCTGCGTAAGAGAGTGCGCGTAAAAGAGTGGAAGATCTATCGCGTAGAATTTTACTTCACATAAACATTCTAAGTATCTGCCTTCCTTATTTTCGCCACGTTACTTTATAATATCATTTGTGTACGAGTAAAATGGATTACTCGGCTATCACAAGCCTGTAATTCTAATGTTAAAATAGACAATGACCCTCGTTAACGAGATACGAATAGAAATCCACTCTTTCTAAAAATTGTTCGAGCTTCTCCTTTCTCCAAACAAGACTAAGAGAAAGAAAGAAAGAGAGAGAGAGAGAAAAAATCAAACAAGCGGAACAAAATTTCCAAGACGTCGTATCTCTTCCCTTGCACTTTCTCGCCCCTTTCTATTTCCAACCGCTATCTTCCCCGCTCCCCTCCGTATCAATGTTCCTGCACGCTCTTCCCTCCCCCGCTCTCGTCCCTCGACGCACTTCTATCGTGGCGAGTGGCAGGCAAAGTGGATACGTAGCTGGATGCGGGGGGGTGATGGTGGTGGCTCAAAGGGAAGCACGACGAGAAGTCGGTATGAGAAAGGGTATGGGAAAGATTGAGGAGGTTATGGTGGCGCGAACTCGCGTAATTTCGTTAATGAGAACCGTTACTCCGAGATTTTCCACATCTAGACCAATTTCAACCACGATCGATCCTTTCCACCAAAGAGGAGATCGTCGTTTCCTTCGACAGGAATTTCACAGGAACAGATCTTGCGTGGGGAAACACATTTTGTATGGACCTTTGTATGGACGAGCAGGTCCCCCTCGTTCGAGGAAGGATTTTGTTTCGCAGATGTCCGTTTGAATATTTCTTCGTGTAACTGTACATTTATAACGGATACGCGTATTATTGCTAACGATAAATTTTCCATACAAAAATTTCGAGGAAATTTATGACACGGTCGTAAAACATGAACGGAGCAGAAAAGTTTCGAGAGATAACGAGTTCGAAGGGTTTCGTTCGTGACATCAAACGAGGATTTACATATTTTTGGAAAACGAGGAAATAGAAATTATACCGGAACCAGTAATAATATTTTTTATAACAACTCGCCGAGGAATCTTTCCTTTCCGGATTGATTCGAGAAAATTCTTAGTTTCTTAGTTTCAACTGATTCGCACGGAATATCTCGTATCGATCCATATCGAAATCTTATTTTGACGCTATTCTGTTGATTATACCGTTTCTTTTGCAAATTTCCTTTCGAGATCAAAGAAAAGAAGAAAGAAAAAGAAAATATTCCATCTTTCTTACGTCCATCGAAAACTCTCTCCCATTACAAAGAGAAATCACAAAGATCCTAAAAGAAATAGTAAAACCTTGAAGGTAAAAAAGTTCTCTCAA